TTTCCACGAAAGGACCTGGGTCGAGGAATGGATTTAATGTCGGGTCAGAGTTTAGGCCTAGATCAAGTTCAATAATGACCTTATATTGAACAAGGCCCAAAGTCCAGGCCATCTCAAAGCCCGTATATATTTTCAAAATTAAAAATTTTTTAGTATGTCAACAGTCACTTTGATTAATAAAAATCAAAGGATTGATCAAATGGTGCTTTAATTAATATTAGGTCTAGATATATAAAAAAAGTAATATTAGGTCTACATAAAAAAATAATTTTAGGAGAAAAAGATCATTTCGTTAGTTGATAGGTTTGATTTGCAGAAAAAAGAGACTCAATTGTAAAATTATTGAAAGTGTTGGGATTAAAATACCATTTTGGCTTTTAGTTCTCCCATTTGTTTTTCTTCCTAGGCAAAAACCCCAAGATTGGCCCTCAATTTACAAAATATGCCAAAGCTGGGGCCTTGCTTTTGAAAAATATAGATTAGAAATAATTCAAAAATTTTATTCCAAAAAGGTACAATTTTTTTTTTATCAGCAAGGTTCTAATTGTATTGTCCTCTAAATTCAAGGTCATTTAGTATGAGGTTAAAACCCCGATTCAGTCCCTCAACTTTCATTTTTGAACTAAAATTACCCTCAAACTCCAAAAAGTACTAAAAAAATCCTTAAACTTCAATTTTTGGAACCAATTTTGTTCTTCCATCGACGGAAGTGCCAGATGGCACGTTAAGTTGCCACGAAATCAATTCTCGTTGAATTCTTTAATTACGTGGAAAATAATTTAATTCACTTTAGTAATTTTATTGTCCACTTTATTTTAATTAATTTATATATTAAAAATTTTTTAATTCCTTAAATATCCCCATCTTCATCTTCCAACCCTTTTTTCTCCGTTCTCGTCTCCCTCTATCCTCAGATGCCTCTTCATCTTGCAACCCAATTAGCACCTATCATCCCTCATTACTCCGGTCATCCTTTACCACTCCAAACACCATCTCCTTCTTCCCCAAACCTCCTCTGTAATGGAACCCAAATTTGGTTCCTCGCACAATAATAATGGCTAATTCAAAAAATCAATTACACTGCAAACTTATATCAGATCTGTGAAGATTCAACAAATCAAACTTATACCAAACCTGTAAAAGAAAAAGAAAATGCAAAAAACACAACATCCCTCTTGAAATTCAAGCAAGCAGAAGCCACACAAAACTCCAAATCCTATATCAAGATAGCCAAACATGACTGCAGCCAAACATGACTGCAGCTAACAAAGAAACAGAAGAACAAAGAAACAGAAGAAAAAACCCAGGCACTGGGTTCGAGTCGGGTTGAACCCACGCCTGGGTTCGAGTGGAACTCACGCCTAGGTTCGAGTCGAACTCGCGCCTGGGTTCAACTCAAACCCACTTGGGTTCCATTGAACCCAGGCGCTGGGTTCCATCGAACCCAGGGCGCCTGGGTTTGAGGAACCCGCGCTTGGGTTCGAGTCAAACCTGCTTGGGTTCCATCGAACCCAGGCGCTAGGTTTGAAAGAACCTAGGGCGCCTGGGTTTGAGGAACCCGCGCCTGGGTTCGAACACGAACCGACGCGGCCTGGGTTCGAACAAGAACCCAGGCACCCTGGGTTCCTTCGAACCCAGCGCCTCGGTTCGATGGAACCCAGGGCTTGGGTTTAAGGAACCCAGGACGCCTGGGTTCCTTCGAACCCAGTAGGCAAGGGAAGGAGAAAATGGGGGAAGGAGAAAAGGAAAGAGAAGGAAAAAAAGAAAAAAAAAAAAAAAGAAAGGAAAGAAATTTTTATTTAATAATTATTTATTAAATTATATTTAT